GATTGCAAAGTATCGACCAACAATGCCGGTTTTATCAGTTGTGATTCCTCGGCTAAAAAGTAATCAGTTGAAGTGGAGTTTCAGTGGGGCATTTGAGGCAAGGCAGTCGCTTATTGTCAGAGGTCTTTTCCCCATGCTTGCTGATCCCCGGCATCCCGTAAGTTTGTTTATTTTTATTTTTTTTTACATAATAAAATGGAATTATTATTACTAAAGTTGTAAATTATTTTGATACAGGCTGAATCCAATAGTGCGACAAATGAATCGGTTCTGAAGGTTGCATTGGATTTTGGGAAAACGTCTGGAGTGATTAAGTCACATGATCGGGTTGTGGTTTGCCAAAAGGTTGGAGATGCTTCTGTTGTTAAAATCATCGAGCTAGAAGATTAAAAATTTGGGTTTTGGACTTTTGGTTTGGGTACATCGTTCGCATGACGTGATATTGTTTTTCAGTTTTTTGGAAACTTGTATGTTATATTTATAAATGTTCCGGTGTGGGACAAATTTTGGTTTGGTTTTACAAGATAAAGATACAACGATTATTCATTTACCTTTATATCTCAATAGCTTCATCAAGAACAGAATAAAAAGAGCTTCAGTTTTGTTTTTATATTTAATTTTTATGCTATTATATGTTTGAAAAATATAATGTATGTAACCTCCTCCTTCCTTTAGGTTTAATCTATAAAAAAAAAATCATTATATGGGACTTTGGGTGACATAAAATTGTTGAATCATTTATTTGTTGTATTTGTCTTCAATTTTTTATAGATTGATTTGAGAAGTTGGTTAGAAGTTATGTTAGGAGGCAAATAAGAGAAATCAATTTTGGATACTTGTATATGGATATGAATTTCAGGTTTGGTGCCTTGGTGGTTTGGGGGTTTCGGTTTTCTAGTTATAACGTTAAGATAAAACTTCCTAGAATCTTTGCCAATAGTGATATCCTACTTTTGTTATGTCTTCCGCTCTCATCTTTGCTAGATAAATTATTTTGACAGGATTAAATCATTTCAGAATAACTTTATTTGGCGCCTCGATATATATGGATGTCATGTCGATGTCGATGGCGTGAGTAAAAAAGATAATGAGAGGGTGTTTGGCAAAGCTTATGTAAAATAACTTTTAACTTTTTAACTTATAGCAGTATTAAAACGAAGTTTTTAAAAAAATGTTTGGTTAAGTTTATCCGATGTCAAAACGCTTTAAGCTTATTAACTTATAGCGTATGTTTGTGTCGATGTAAGTTTAGGTTAAGGTGTATATTTGTCAATTTTTTTGAATGGTGAAATAAAGTGTTTTTGATAAGTAAGAAGTAAGTGACTTATCAAAAAATGATTTATTGGAGGTTCCAAATAGATATAAGCTATTTTTTAAAAAACTTTTACCCAAACATTCTTTTTGACTTATACAGCGTGAAACCGGTAATAAATCAAAAGCTTATTTTTTAAGTTTTGCCAAATACCCTATGAGAGCTTGTATGGAAGTGAAAGAACAAACAAAATCTCTTTTCTTTTTTTGGAGAAAAAAAATCCCATACGTTATTGATGAGTAAAAAACAAGACAAAATTACAAAAATGGTCCCTGTGGTTGTCAAAATTATGTAGATTTGGTCTAAAAAAGTTTGGTGGTGCATAACTAACTGGTCCAAAATTTGATAATTTGTTTGGTTTTGGTCCTTATGATTAACATTTCTGTGTGGTTTTGGTCCACACCCAATTTGAAAAGACGAATTTGCCCTTATATAATTATTTTTTTAGTTTTTATTTAATTTCTTATTATTTTTATTTAAAAAGAAAAAGAAAAAGCTCACTTTACTCTCTCTCTCTCTCTCTCTCTCTCTCTCTCTTCTCTCTCTCTAAAAACACCATCACACTACCACTGCTGGAGCACCACATGTCGGACCTCCGACTGCCGAACGGCCAACTGTCGGACCTCCAACTATCCGACCACCACCTGTTGAATAACGACCTGTTGATCCACCACCTACCGGACCACCCATTCCCCTTAAATCACACCCCACAACACCTTAAAATAAGATCCACAACAAGATCCACAACTCCGTTACCTTAGTTTTGACAATGAGAAGAGGCCCGGTGGTTTCAGATCGGGGTATAAGGAGGCGAAGATGACGGCGATCCAGTGGTTGAGTGTAGATCTGGCTGTTCCGCTGGATGTAGAAATGACAGCAAAGCCTTCCCCATTCGTTGATAGATGACATCTAGGGTTTCGACGGCGACGCACAAAGGTTAGACTTGCAATGGCAAAACAGTTTGACGATGTTAGTCGAACAAATCAGAATCATTCTAGGGTTCCAATAGACTTAGAGTATGTGAATGAGGGTTGTACTCCGGTGAATGATCAATCTTCCAATAAAGAAAGGTGGTTGATTTGAGAGATTTCTGGTGAGAAGCTGAAGAAGATAAAAAGCTATGTTGGGGAAAAAGAAATTTAAAGAGATGGGGAAACAATGTATACGAGAAAAGAGAGAGAAGGAGAATAAGCTCGAGGGAACTCCGGGAAGAATGGTGTTTGGCGGTGGTGGTTCCATTCACCAGTGGTGGAGGCGGAGCTGGTAATGAAGGGGCTTATATGGGAGGGGTTTGGGTTATTTTCTTTTATTTATTTATTTTTGTTTTAAGTTAAAAAAAATCAAATTAATTTATGTATTTCAGCAATTAAAAAAATAGAAAATGTAAATTATATGGGCATATATGTCTTTTTAAGTGGATAGGGACCAGAATCACTAAAAAAGTCCGAAATTGGACCAATTATGCATCACCAAACTTTTTTGAACCAAATCCACATAATTTTGACAACCATAGGGACTATTTTTGCAATTTTGTCAAAAAAACAATACTTCGGTGCCTAAAAGTATTATATGGAAGTGAAAGAACAAACAAAATCTCTCTCTTTTTTTTTTTTCTTTTTTTTGGTTTTTATTGATGAGTTAAAAAACAATACTTCGGTAACCAAAAATATTATTATATGTATATACCGTATTTAAGAACGAAAATGGCGCCCATGGCCTAATGGATAAGGCGTCTGACTTCTAATCAGGCGATTGTGGGTTCAAGTCCCACTGGGCGTGTTTTTTTTTTTAAATGATAATTCGATGTTCTTTTTTTATATATGGCGAGAGCTGAAAGGAAAATAGAGTTAAGAAATCACCATTTTAATGCTATTTGTTGTGTCAATGTTATAGTTGCCGTAATTATGAATTTATGATCAGATGCCAACAAATGAAATAAAGTCATTTTTGATTTTCCACTCACGAAAGTGATTGAAAATTGTTTGCAAGAGTATTTGTTTATGTTAGGATGGCGGTTGGTTTTATTTAGGAAAAATGTCACTATAACACATTAAAGTTTTGTCATTTTTTCGATTTGGTCATTAATTTTTTTTAGATTTCTTTGCCATTTTGCTCAAATTTAACAGGTTAAGTGTGGCATTTATAATTAGTTTATCTTTCTAGTTTGTGAGCAACTTCAGATAATCCACCTAGATAAATAACAATATATTTTAATTTTTTAAACTTCTTGTCGCCTTCATTGTTTTTACCCACGTAAACAAAAACCATCTTTGTGAAACTGAAATCAGTTTTGGTGGCTCCTCAAGATCGAGTACAACAAGAACTGATAATAACAGATCGATTACAACAATAACTAATTTGTAATAGATTGATTACACAGATCGATTAAAATAAGAAAACAAAAACACATATCGATTTCGTGGCTCCTCTGTTGATCTCTATAATCTCAAGCACTATATGCTCCTCCGCCACCGATCTCTACAACCTCAAGCAAGATCTTGCTCCTCCGACACTGCTCGCCGACGAGATCTAAGCCGAAGAAGTGGAATTTAAGGGTTAATGATGGAGGAGCTTAAGTCACCGGAAAGGGTTAGTGGTGGAGGAGGTGGAGGTTAGATGGAGATCGTGGAGCTAGGGTTGGGGGTTGGTTGGAGGTGACGATTGTAGCTTCGTCGGATGAGTGAAACCCATTAATGTTGATGGTGCAATTCCATTCAAACCTATAGCTAACTCGAGATGATATTTAGGCCAGTAGCCGGAATCAAAATCGGAACAACACCCATAAATTGAAATCGGGAAATCGTGAGCCCATGGAAACAACATAAGCCCGACCTAAACCAGATGTGTAATGTACATACACCTTTCTTTTTTCTTCAGAATTGGCCCATTCCACTGAAGAAACAGCTTTTGGTAAGCTGCTCTTTAACGAATCCAGATCAAAATCTCTTGTCTGCACTTTAAGAAAACACAACACTTAATAGGGGAAGAAGAAACAGGATCTGTTAAATTCTTGTGATTTGATTTGATTTGAGTAATTGGGGATTAGATAATTTACGTGCTTACATGTCTTCTCATGGGAATCAAAATCGGGACAAAACCCATTAACAGAAATCGAAGCTCTGTGAGGCGGAAGAACTTGAAGTACGGGAGGATTTCACACAGAGGGGCGGTGGAGAAAGATCGGAACACATTTTCAATAAAAAATTTACTCAAATCGAAGCTTCAGTAGCAGCAAACATAAGAGCTCAAAATGCCGGAGATGAGGGAGGTGGCTAGGGTTGGTGCTGGATTGAAGAAGAAATAATGATGGTGGTGGGAAGAAGACTTCAGTCGTCATTTGTAAAGAGGATGAATGTTTAATTTAGGTTTAACTTTAGGGAAAAATGAAAAGAAGCCCATGGACGGGTGTCGTTAAAACACACCCGATTAAAGGTCGATACCACTTTGACTTATTTTAAATAACCCTAATTGATTGGACGGACGTCATTATTCTCACATTTCGGATAAATCGAAACAATAACTTTTTCAAATGTGTATTAAATAATTTTTACATCTTCACCCCTTCTAGTTAAAACTTATTTTCAATTTATATCCTTTTTTATAAAGTACTTTCAACCCTTATTACTTTAATTTAATATATATTAATATTTCAATATATATATATATATATATATATATATATATATATTTCAATTTAATATATATTAATCAGTGTTGCAAAAATCGGCATTGGCGGCCGATTAATCGGCGATTAATCGTTTGACGGTCTCGAACCGATTACGATAAGGGTGCTTGGCGGAAATTGGTCAAAATATGTCATTTCCTGTTAAAAGAAAAAACAATGATTATTTGTAAAAACACGATAATTTGAGACTTTTCTGACAGTTTTCCTACATGTAAACTTAAAATTTTAACGGTTAAACTTATAACTTTCTAAAAACGCTGAAAAATTAAGGGAAATAATTTCAAAGGGTTTGTCCATAAGAACACTCCCCACCCCTTCCATTTATCTTCGTCACTGTGCAATTGACCACATCATTCCATTTTGTATTAGCCAAAACTAATAACTATATTTACATTTATGGTCCTTTAACTTACCTTACATTTACAATAAATACTCTATCTTTATTTTAGTGTCGTGTAAATGAATACCACTACAATCAAATCAATATAATATAACTATACTTACATTTATGGTCCTTTAACTTGTCATACATTTACAATAAATACCCTATCTTTATTTTAGTCCGGTGTAAATGAATACCATTACGATCAAATCATAATAATATAATTATACTTACGGTCCTTTAACTTGCCATACATTTACAATAAATACCCTATCTTTATTTTAGTGCGGTGTAAATGAATACCAATACGATCAAATCATAATAATATAACTATACTTACATTTATGGTCCTTTAACTTACCTTACATTTACAATAAATAGTCTATCTTTATTTTAGTGCGGTGTAAATGAATACCACTACGATCAAATCATAATAATATAATTATACTTACATTTATGGTCCTTTAACTTGCCATACATTTACAATAAATACCATATCTTTATTTTAGTGCGGTGTAAATGAATACCACTACGATCAAATCATAATAATATAACTATACTTACATTTATGGTCCTTTAACTTGCCATACATTTACAATAAATACCTTATCTTTATTTTAGTGCGGTGTAAATGAATACCACTATGATCAAATCATAATAATATAACTATACTTACATTTATGGTCCTTTAACTTGCCATATATTTACAACAAATACCTTATCTTTATTTTAGTGCGGTGTAAATGAATATCACTACGATCAAATCAAAATAATATAACTATATTTACATTTATGGTCCTTTAACTTACCCTATAATTTATATAGTATTCCTTTTCATGCCTAAAGTTTCACTATAAATGAATGTGTCCCAAACTTCATTTTCATTGTACGATAGTTTGAAAAACGATAGGCTAAGTAAAAGAAAATGAGTTGGCCAGAATATTTGCCATCGTTTGATGAGTTAAATTACGAGGTATGTTCGTGTATTATTATTCATATATTTATGTTTTTATATATCACATATTTATATTTGTATGTATTGATTAGGCTAATGATATTCATACAAACAATGCATCTCAAGATGACGATAATGAAAATACTTACTTCATCAGTGACACATCAGAATTTGAAACTAGAATGGTATAAAGTTTTAGATTTATTAATATTGTTATTAATCAATAAGTTTACTTGTATCTAATAAATTTTTTTTAGGTATTTAATTCTCGTCAGCAACTAATAGACTGGGTGCAAAATACGGGGCGTGGACTTGGTTACGTTATTGTAATAAAAAGATCCACTGCTAACTCAAATATTGTTTTTCAATGTGATCGCAGCGATACATACAAAAGTAAAAAAACATCCACTAAAAATACCGGTACCAAAAAAATTAATTGTCCATTTGCACTAAAAGGCAAATATTCATCAAAAGATAATTGTTGGTCATTAAAAGCCATATGTGAAATGCATAATCACGAGCCCGCCTTATATTTAGAAGGCCACCCATATCCAAGGCGTCTTTCTGTAGATGAAACCCAATTAGTGGAAGATTTCATAAGAAAAAATGTGAAACCAAAAGATATATTATCTACATTAAAGAAGGAAAATATAGGAAATTTATCTATTCTTCCAACTATATATAATGCACGCCAAAAATTTAGGATGAAGGAGAATAGTGGCAAAACTCAAATGCAAGTTGTTATGTCTTTCTTGGCTGAGAATGACTATATCTACTACAGTCGTGCCGATAAGTCAACTAACGAGCTTCAAGATTTGTTTTTTGCTCACCAAAGATCATTGGAGATGTGGCGTACATTCCCACATGTCATGTTGATGGATGCGACATACAAAACAAACAGGTACGAGATTCCCCTCCTTGAAATAATTGGGTCTAATCAGTTTGATTTAAACCAGGAACCAGAGAGGCACAATACATTTTCGTTTGAACAACCTTCAACATTTTATTCAAATTCACTTATGAGTGAAATTCCAAATGAATTTCATCCATACGTTACAAACATTGAAGATGTGGAGGGAGATGGAAATTGTGGATTTCGGGCAATAGCTGTCTCCCTCGGGTATAGTCAAAATTATTGGCGTCAAATCTGCTCAGACTTATACAACGAGTTATTAGAAAATTGGGGACGATATTCAATGATTTTTCAGGATGATATAAACAACGTACAACACTCGTTGAGTTTCACTGGATTTGGTTCTGCACAAAGTGAATATTGGTTGATTATGCCGGATACTGGATTTCTCATCGCTAATAAGTATGGTGTAATTGTCTATTTTTTAGACAAACAAGGTTCGTCGATCTATTGTTATCGCCTTCGTTTATAATGACAATTACGTAAAAGTTGATTTACAAGAATTACATCCAATGCCTACAGTTTTGTCACTTTGGCGTCACCAACAAGGCGCCCATGGCCTAATGGATAAGGCGTCTGACTTCTAATCAGGCGATTGTGGGTTCGAGTCCCACTGGGCGTGAATATTCTTTTTTTTTTTTTTTAGAACTCAGTGTTCTCCCTTTCTATTTTCTGTTGCTTTCTTATTAATAAAAATACAATCACAATGTAACATTTAGAATTTATTTATTTTATTTTTCAAATCAGCGCATGCATTTTCATTAAAAAAAGCCATACATTATTCTTCTTTTTAAAAGAGACAATTTATTTTTACCTATAAAACTTATTCAAAATTTTGGTAAAATCATGATAATAAATTTTATTTAAGTGATATGACAAATGTTGGTCAAAGATTTTTAAATAAGGGTTTAAAAGATATCTATTTTAGAATAAAGTACGCTTTGGATGGTGAAATTTAGTTATAGTGAGCTTTAACTAATTTTGGAGTTGCAGTCCAGTTAATAGATATGAATTGGTTGTGGGGAGGGGATGCTCAATACCCACCCGTCCCCTATTAGCTCCACCAATGATGTGGATGATGTGGCATTACCGCATTAGTGGTTAATGACTTAACGTCATCAAATGTAGGTTGTAGCTTGGCGTTGATGGAACGATGCTTATAAAACATATGTTGATGGACGGTTCATGTTTTGTTTGGGATAAAAGTTGTATTTTAGTAGTAAGACTAGAAAATGTATGTTTGGCTTTGTGTTCTTCTATAATTTACCAAAAAAATTAATCTTATTTTTGAAATATTTGATTTTAGTTGACAAAAAGGTAATGCACAAATTAATTGATGGTATAATTCAAATAATATTATACTTTAACATAATATTATATATACACAAAGCTCAAAATAATGTAAGGCGTGACATGACGATATTATCAAATACTACCAAGTTATATGAGCGACGGCAAACATAATCGTTACAAGCATATATTAGCCTTACACAAGAAACAAAACAGACCCTTATTATTAAATTAAAATAAAAAGTCAAAACTGTAACATGTTTATAGGGTTAGATAAATACCAAAATCAGCACACCTACCACGTTGAGTTGTTTTGAGAAACCAAGGTTTCGTTTTTTATGTTATATATGGTTTTTCTTTATATAAAAACCGAAAAATGTAAAACCGAATGGAAATGCCCAAACGACGCTCTGTTTTGTAAAATAATATAACTAATTAAATATATTAGAAAATAAAATAATTAATATGACTATATGATTTTTGCTGACGGTTAAAATAACGTGCATATCTTTAAGTCATATATACCTTTATCTATGAAAATAGGTTTATGAGTTATGGAACTGTAACCTATAAAAATGATATTTATGAATTGATTAGCTTATACATTTGTTTTAGATGTTCAAGCGAAGTAAGAGAATCCAAAAACATATTACTATCATTATTTATTTAAACTATTAACTAGAATTCATGCCATTAATGGCGTTTTAATGGAGTTTATGCTTGTAGTTGTTTGTGGTTTGATGTGATTCTATATTTTATTAAAACACAATGTTGAACCATAAATCTATGTTAATTTATTCAAATTGAGTGACAATCCATAATAATCAATCGATCATTGAGGGAAGTTAATGTCCTAGTTAGAGGTGTTTGTGACTTATATTGAATTTAATCATGAGTCTGAAGTTATGAGTCGCCATATCTTCAAATCAGGATTATACATCATTCGATTATTGTTGATGTTAATTGAGGAAAACAAGCTAACGTATCTTCGTTTAGCATTTGATGGTCAAATGGACGATATAATGAAGAGTTGAGGTCATAAGAACCAGAGTATAATACCGTAATGGGGCAAAAACCATGAAATGGTGTAGCTTGGGCATTACACGATCTTGTAAATTTAATAACTTTTGCTCGGTTGATCTACTTAATCTCAAACCACTTCAGTACTATTCTATTGGTTTGGGGAACATGCCTAATAGATGAAACAAGAATCCAAAAGTGATATCTTTAAGAAATTAATTAATGGTTAAATGATGAATTTAAAATTTCTTGTTTAGGTGACTATCAGACAACCACCCACCATAAGTAGTAAAGTGAGCATCTTTAGTTAATTGAGGTGAGTTTCTACCCATGGATACATGTCACTATATAGTTTTGTAGATTTAGACATGTTTCATTTAAGATATCAATTTTATATGTTTTATGATTTATATTTTGGAAAAGGAGAAATGATATTGTAGCCTTACAATGTTTCCAAATTTGGTCTAATCCGTCCCTTAACTATTAATCTGGCTTTATAGGGGCATAAGGTGGGGTTTTACCTGCTTCTTTAGTCTCTGTAACATATAATAACCAAATTTGTGCAATGTAATCAAATTAAATCCAAATATCGTAGAAAAAGAAACAAATATATGTTGATGTGGATATCATTAGAAAGCCAACATCACATTTTGAACATTTGTTTGTTACCAGATCCAAACTCAACATAGACGACACCATCACCAAAAGAAACCGTTGGTAAGGGAGGAGGAAGTCATTCCCTCCCAACCCATTGAACCCACTGTCACATCAGTTTTTGTCTTTCATTTTTCTTTATCTTTCCCAACCCACAACACGCGGAAACCCCATCTTTTTCAACCCACTCAACCCATTCAATTAAAAAAAATACAAAACAATCAAGGTAAAGTCTTAATTAGCAATAGAGTTACCGCCGATACCACTCCCTCTTCAGCGAGTTGTTTAATTGGTTTCACTAACCCACTTCATCATCTCTCTCTACTTTCTATCTCTCATTTTTCTCTTGTACCATGTGTTTTAAAACTTGTACCTTAGTTGTTTTGTATTTTTTTTAATGAGTGGGTTGAATGGGTTGAGAAAGATAGGATTTCCGTGCGTTGTAGGTTGGGAAAGATGAAGAAAAAGAAGAGACAAAAATTGATGTGATAGTATGTTCAGTGGGTTGGTAGAGAATCACTCCCTCCTCCCTAACAAAGTGATGATTGAACGAGGTCTTAGTGTTTGCAGTTTTGTGGCAACGAATGTATAAGAGTGCAATGGTGGTGAAGTTATATGGTGGTTTTGAAAGCTCGGAGGTTGTGATAACGGTAACTAGTGGTGGTGGTATAAGGTAAGTTGTTGGTGGTCGGAGTTGGTTAAATGGAAAGGAAATTGCGACGGGTGGTAGTTGTTCGGTAGGGAGGTGGTGGTGCGATGTGATTATTGCAATGGGCGAAGATGGATGAGGTTAAATTGGGTAGCTCTCAGCAGTAGGTTGATAATGATACCAGAAGAAGAAGATGATGAACATGATAGTTTTACAAACCAAATAAAAGTAAATCCTGTCTATATTTTTCTTTTGTTTTTTTACAAGCCAAATGAAAATAAATCATCGTCTATATTTTTTTTGAACTACTTCCTCTAGTTCTATATAATCTTTCAATGTAACTGGTCCATTTGAGGTAGCGATGTAATCTCCCCACCCCTACTTCTCTTTTAACTGAAAACAAGCCAACTGATGATTGCGATGGTCGTTTTAGAGGAATGAGAGGTTTTATTTGAGGGGAAAAATTGAAGGCAAGCGAGGCGTCGACATATCCGATCACCATTAAAAGAACCCATCTTGTAGAAACCGATGAATGGGGTTGCAAAATTCGAGGAGGAGAATGTTGCGTTGGTGGTCCTTTTGAACGAAGATGAAGATGGGAGGAAGGAGACAAACTTTGTGTGCGCGCGTGTGTGTGTGTGTGTGTGTGAGAGAGAGAGAGATAGAGAAGGGAGGGAGGGAGATGTGGACAAGAGGTACAATTTACTGAATTTAGTCACTTTATTAAATGAGCTGACATAAGGGGTAACCGCGTTATCACTTCATTTTGTCAAAAGTAACCATTTAGATCCGACAAAATTCACCTTATGCCCCATAAAGCAACAAAAATAGTTTAGGGACTAATTAGACCAATTCCGAAAACATTGTAAGGCTACAATGTCATTTTCCCTTTGAAAAACATCATTTCCTAATAGTTGGTGTTTTAAAAATGATTTCAATCATGTATATGTTCATTCATGTAGTACGAGTTTGACTTGAGTGGCCTTAAGAACTTGTGATCCCACAAAATTAGCTAAGTGTTGTGATTGAGTGATGACATTCTAGTCTAGAACACCTCATATGCATGTGAGGACTTGCTAACCTACATGTGGTCGAGGGAAATATCATACTATGCCCTAGTGTTTTTAATGGGCGGGAGGATGTGTATGTGCTATGTGTTATACTACAATGAGCCATTGGACAATATCATATATGAAGTTTACAATACGTTGAGCGCTAATTTTGTCATAATTGTGTGAGTTGGGTTATGAGATTGACTTGAGTTTGGTTTGGAAATAATTGTATATTGCATTTGTATTCCTTTTTTTGAATGTTATTATTGTTTATATAAATGTTGAGTTTCAAATGATTGAAATTGTAGTTGTCTCTATCCCCAATATGGGAATCTACGGGTTATTTGAATTTTAAAAGGTTTTAAGAGTTGAACTTCAGAACTTGAATATCTAACTTATTATTAACTCACTATGTATCATGTTTTAAGACTTAAAACTTGGAATTTTAGAATATTTGGGTTGTGCATTTGGACTTTTATAAACTTATGTGTTGTTATTAATTGTATATTACTTGTTACATATTAAACTATGTCAAGGGCGTGGGTTTCCTTCCAAATGATGGTGTTCCTCGCCATGACCTCAAACCCGGTTTTGCATTTTAAACATGTAAATATTCATTAGAAAAAAAAAAGTTAAGTAAAAAAAAAAAGTTAAGTAAAAAAAAAGTTATATATCTACAGAAAAAGAAATGACATCAACCATTAATAGAAGATTAATCAGATGTTCTCTTATGAAGATTAGATGAGTATTGGTGTTGAAGATCAACCAATTCCATCTCTTTTTGCCTTAACAAAAGCACCATTCTTTCATTCTCAAGCTTCATTCTTTCATTCCTTAGCTTCTCCACCTCCATTTCTCTCTCTTTTTTGCAGCTAAATTTCACCCATTTCAATCTTTGCTTCTCTAATTCGTACGATTGCCCTTGAAACCCTACTCTTTGTTCTTCCAATTGCATCATCTTTACCTTCATCCATTGCCTCTTTTCCCATACGCTTTTTGTCAAATCTTGCATCACACAACTGATTTCGCCATTAAATTGTTGGATTATGCCGTCATGCCCATCGTTTTCTGCAGTTCTACCTCTTTTTCGGCTTGATAAGCCGTCGTCCTCCTCCTCATCGGGGTGGCCATCACCGTCGTATTCATCATCTTCTCCCTCATCGTCGTCTTCTTCGTCTTCGTTGTTTGAATGGACGCAATTTTGTCTGTGGTGTGGAGGTTGTTCGGTTGTGGTGACTTCCGGTGGTGAAGAATGGTGGGCTGCACCACTTCCGCCACTCCCTCCGCCGCAGCTATTGTGATAAGCACACATTTCCCTGAAGAAAAGATGCTTCGAATTGAGTAATTTCTTGGCTTCTTCCTTCAATTTCGGCGATAAATGATCCATGGTTTCGAGCAAACTTTGATTCTCGACGACTTTACAAGCAGTTCCTTTCCCTAAAATGTCGTTAACCCTTTTATATCTTTTATTCAAATCATTGAATTTATCTTCACATTGTTGTGGAGAAACGTAAAACCCTCTTTCCATCATCGCTCTGGAAACCGACTTCCATTTCCCTTTCTTCTGTAAAACCCCACCTCCACCGCCTTTCTTCTTCGCCGCCGTGTCGGACCCACTTGGTTGCTCCGACCCACCTTCATCTCCGATATAGAAAACCACCATTATCAACAACCTCACCATGTTATCCGTCCATTTCATTCTCTGCCACGGTGACCCCTTTCTCAACTTCCCATCGCCGCCGCTATCCTCAGTGGTAGACGGATTGTTCATATTGTTGCTATGTGGCTCTTCTTCGTCGCTAATTGGTGAAGCTCTTTGTTTTGGAGCTGCATACGGGTACCCTTGTTTTGCCGCCGCCGCGAACGGTGGTTGCTGGTGAAGGAAGTTGGGATTTTGCTGGTGGTTTAACGACATTTCAAGCCCTAACATTCCCGACCCTCCAGACGTGTTAGAGAACATTCCATTTGTCTCCATTGAAACAGCTTCTAAAACTAATCAAAATTTCGAGAACTAATTGGTACAAGAACAGATTTTGAGAAACACCCACCAGCTAAAATGATGTGGGGATTGAAACCCAGAATTTAAAACTGCGAATTCATTGATTATTTTGGGTAGAGATGAAGATAGGAGCGATGGTAGAAAGGTACGTATGGGGGCTGATATAGCAAGGGGCGGAGCAGCTGGTTTTGCAGTTGGTGTTGGTTTTGTAAAACTAGTTTCACCGACAAGTATCTGCCCATTGTTTTGCTTTCATCTTTTCTTTTCTGCCACCCTTTTTATACATATACGTACATAAATAATGTATCTACAGATTATGGGTGGGTTTGGGTTTGAGTGATAGAGAGTCCACAGGAATTTCTAAAACAGTCAACTTGTATATTATAAAAATAGAGTTGACCTTGTCACCCCAAAAAGGTACGATTCATGCTGATTATGCTAAAGGAAAGTAACCTGTTTCTTTTTCTGAAGTCAAAAAGTCTGCGGTCTGCGGATCACATCTGCAAAACTCTGTAACAAAAGAGATGGACCAAACGTCTACAGTCTCCAATAAAAAGATTGTTTGTTTACTGCTGAAATAAACTGAATTTTAAATAAAATGATTTTACAAACTTAGAAATGATTTTTCAACACCAAAATTTTAATAATAATAGTTATACAACACCGAAAAGTCACCTTGGCCTAACCTGTTGGGCCAGGGTGACATAAAAAAAGTTTGGTTTTACAATAACAATTTCATTTAAAACAATTCAATATATATTGTGATGAGTATCATCACTCGGTCATTTTTTCCTTATTAAATTATGAAAATTAGTAATATATTATATAATTCATATTAGAATCAGAATTATTAATATACAAAAATTATATAATATACAAAGATTATTAATGGTTTATATAATTTATATTAGAATTGAAATGCAATGCTTTTATAAATACTTTAATATAACTCAGTTTTTTGGTCTTAAACAATAAACATATCACATTTTTTTTTTTATTTTGGTCGCACATCATAAAAGTAGAAACATGGTTTTTGTGTTCTATTTTTTTCTTTTAATTATTGAAAAAAACTCAATAAACAAATGTATATATTAATAATTAAATAAACATAAAATAAAGAAGTTATAATGGCAAGGAAGAAATCTAAAATGTGTTTTCTTTCAATATGATGGATTTGGGAGGCGCCTAAAGAAAAAAAATGCAAATGTTTTTTTGTTTGTTTTGGTTTGGGTTTATTGGACTTGTGAAGATGTTAGAAGACATTAGTCCATGTCTGTGCCAAGAAGACTTCACACAGACGTTTTTAGATCTGCGTACTTTCAAAAAACAAACGGTCTGCGATGTCATATGTCTGCGCGTGGTCTGTGCGGCACAGACAGAAGTGGTCACGCAGATCTGCAGACAAAAAACAAACAGCATTTTAAATTGTAAAGACATTTGATAAACAACGTAAAAATATACTACGTAATATAAAAGTGATGTTAGAATGTATCTAAAAGAATGTTCATTATTATTTGACGAATGTAGAATACATTTCATTTAATTATTTTTCTGGTTATTCATTGCTTAAATGAAATTTCATGCACCATTTATTATATTGCAATATTAGCAGCAATGATAAATGAAAATTCATGCACCATTTACCAAATTGCAATACTATCACGGATATATCATTTCGTGACTCTTGAATGTCATATACACATTCAATATCGTATTGCATATTGTCGTAGACGAACTATTTATTGATATTTTCTCAACTCATATTAACATTTGATCATATATACACTTGTAGATTATATGAAAAAAATGATGATGTTATTCAAATTAAATCGAAGATTAACTATGAAAAAAATGATGACAACTATAAGCTTATATTTAATCTTTAAAAATACATATTAAGAATAAGATTTTATTATTGGGTAAACTACACGAATGGTCCCTGTGGTTTGGAGTAATCTGTGCGTTTGGTTCCTAATAACTTTTTTTAACTCGGATAGTCCCTATATTATGTTTTTATTGAGTCTTTACTCCCTTACCGACTTGAATCGACTATATTGCCCTTAATGATATTTGTTTTTATCTTTTTATTATTATCTATTACTTATAATTAAAAAGAAATGGTAATTAACTTTGTGGGTCCCACACAACCTCCTATCCCTTCCTTTGACTTTTCTCTCCCTTCCCTTGACGTTTCTTTCTCTTGTTCTCCTTACTCTCTTCAATCGATGACAATCATCCATTACTGCCACCCACCTGCCTCCGATACTACAACCTGGAAGAAGGTCATGAGTCATACCGTCATCGACATCCTCTGTTCCAAACGTCGATCATCTCCTTTCTCATTTACCATCGGTAACCTAAACCCAAGTGAAAACCCCATCGATTTTTTTTGTTGATCTTTCTATCTCGATTTCTACCTGTTCGGATTGGAGATCTATGGTGTGGTTGGATGGATATTTCGATTCTACTTTGTTTCAGATTTCTATATTTTTTGATTTAGTTCTGTTTCAAATTTCTAAATCGCCGATGAAGATGGAGAGGATGGATCTAGGCATCTCTCTTCTCTATTCCATCACTTTCTTACCAGATTTCTAGATTGTCGGATCTGATGTCGCCTTAGTCCCTTAACACATCAATGTTCTTACCAGATTGAACCAACAATTGAAGCCATTGAAGTTGCAGGTTTGTCATTAGATACTACTTCTCCTCCCTCTCCTACCTACCGTAGCCACCATCGTGTTAGGATTCGGAGTTTTCGACGATTTTTTCGTGTTTGACCACTTTAATTGATATCGCTTTTAAAACAGTTTGTTAGTGAACCTTCACTCCTCAAGCCCAGTACGGAGAACTCCTGTTAGATCCACACAAGCTTGCTTCCATCCTACCCATCCATAAACCAAAAACATGTCTAAACCAAAATATCCGTCGGTCTAAATGTTGATTTTTCTTTCAAAATATCCTCCGTCTACTTGTTAAAATTATTTAAAATTTGCATTAACACATTCTCTCCGAGTGTTGTAAAACTATTTTAAATTTCCATTAGCACATTCTCTCCTAACATGCACTTAAACTTGATATGATGGTTTTCATCATTTTATATTAGCATGTTTTCTATGAATATCACTTCGTTATTCTAAGTTTTTATAGTCGACATGTTACGAAAATAATATAAATTAGGACTAAGGGAGGAAGGAGTCATTCCCTCCTAACCCACTAAACCCACTGTCACATCATTTTTTCTCTTTTATTTTTCTTCATCTTTCCCAACCCACAACACACGGAAACCCTATCTTTTTTAACTCACTCAATTAAAAAAATACAAAACAATCAAAGGTAAAACCTTAATTAGCAATAGAGTTATCGACGGTACCACTCCCAGCTTCAACGAGTTGGTTGATTGGTTTCACTAACTCACTTCATTATCTGTTATCTGGCGAAGGGTGTTTAGATGGGTAGATTTGGTGCTTCCGGGTGTGGATATACTACATGATCTATTTTTTTGGTTGGATATGGTTTCGATCTCGGGTAATAAAAATACGGTTTTGGTGACTATTATTCAAACGACATTATGGGTGATTTGGAGATATCGTAATGGTATCATTTTTTGGAGATTCTAATCCGATTAAAAACCGGATTTTTGAAGATATAGTTGATTTTTCTTATAATTGGTTTAGTTCTAGAAATTTTAAAACTAAAACTAATTGGGTTGATTGACTTAAAAACCCAATTCTAGCTATTTCTTTGTAATTTCTAGCTTCTTGCTAGTTTCGTTTTAATAATATTTGGTTGTTCAAAAAAAAAACTCACTTCATCATCTCTCTCTACTTTCTTTTTCTCATTTTCTTTTGTACCATGTGTTTTAAAACTTGTACCTTAGTTGTTTTGTATTTTTTTTAATTGAGTGGGTTGAGTAGGTTGAGAAAGATAGGATTTTCGTGTGTTGTTGGTTGGGAAAGATGAAGAAAAAGAAGAAACAAAAATTGATGTGACAGTGGGTTCGGTGGGTTGGGAGGAAACGACTCCCTCCTCCCTAACATGAATTTTGATAAATATTCATTATCTATCAATACGTGTCTTTTTTAGTGCTAAGTTTACACTGATAGCTCCTTATCGTTGACTATGTGTCCTTACCCCACTTAGGAACTTTTTAACATTAGTGGGGGCTATGTGTCCTTAACCAAGTTGGTAACTTTTTTAACATAGTGGTCCCTATAAGAACATATTACTAAGAGTAAAGTCATTCACACCAGGAGGGTATGAATGGAAAACTTCCCGTTACTTTGTGGGTCACATTATCATTTTCTTCGCCTAAACCAATGAAATGGGTGAGAAGCTTTCATTACTATTTTGTTTTTTTATTTTTTAAAAATTATAATTTTTAAATTAATAATAAACATAAAATTTAATTAAAAATAAAAAACATTTCAATAATTAACATAAAAATTACATTAAATCTAATATTTAAATAAGTAGAAAATTAAAAAAAAATATATACAAACAAAAAATCAAACAAACCACAACATAGAAAACATAATTAATATCCTAATTAAAAAAAAAACAAAATATGTCACTCGTAATCATCGTCTTCGTCATCGACCTCATTGTCTTCATCATTCTCCTGAAAATCACTATCGTCATCGGAATCTTCATTCTCGACGAACATATCAGAATCCTCGTCTGATTCGTCAAACAAATCATCGTGACAAAACTCTATCAGCGGCTGAATATGAGTCCTATGAACGTGCTCCACCAAATCAGCACGAAGGGCGTGATTAATGTCGCTATTGTGTACTTCTCTTCTATTTGCCCTATACTTTTGTGTACCAACGACTACTCCTTCGACATCTGGCAAAACTTCATTTTCGTTGTACCGACATATCGCTCTTCCTTCGTCTTCAAGAATCATATTATGCAATATGATACATGCATACATTACGTGTTGGTTTGCGCAAATATTGTTGCCCATAAACCAAACAGATCGCTTTGCAGAACTTGTATACACACTCCCGTACGGTACACTCTGACATCCTAAAATACTCGTCCCATTTGTCTGCGCCCATGTTATATGCTAACTGACGAATTGCAGCCGTGCATTTTTGAATTGGAGAGAAACCTTTTATCCGTCTCGCATCTATTTTCCATTGGAAATATGGAAAACGGCCTTCCAAATCGCCAACAATACGTAAAAATAGTTCCTTCCTCATCCGGAACCGATGACGAAACTTTACAGCGTAGATGACGTCGTCTGCAAAGTAGTATTCTATAAGACAATCGTGTCCGGCTTCGCGATTTCTACGCAACGGCGGGTTTCTTGATTTAGATCGTGCATGTGATGTTTCATCAAGGACGGATCCAGGATTTCGTGGTAGGTGTTGCCGGTGGCACGTAGGTGTTGCCGGTGACACATTTTTTCTTTTACGTAGTGGCACAAATATAGAAAAAACGAAAAATTCAAAAATTTTTACACTGTGGCCGAAAAAATAAGGGTTGCCTGTGCCACTATGGGCACCATAGTGGAACCGTCCCTGTGTTTCGCTATTACGGAACCGATAAACTTAGCCTCCTCTTGAGCCGTCGAATCGGATGATAAAGATGATGACATTTTGATTAATATTTTTTAGAGAGAGTAAGAAGGTATGAGTTAAAAAAATGTTAGGTGTTGTGGTATTTTTAGTGGGGGAATAGAAAATATATATATATATATATATATATATATATATATATATATATATATATACACACACACACACACACGTTAATATAGCATTTGGAACAAAAAAAAAAAAAAAAAAAAAGAAAAATTGCTAACAGCCAATCGAAAGAGGAAGGAGAAGGCGGCATCCCCATCCCCCATTCCTTACCCACCCTCGCTTTCCCGCACCGTCGGTGCGGTGTTCATCGGAGCGAGAAGCTTCCCGCCCCCACACCGTCGAGCCTTAGAGGGCGTAACACCCCTAAATAAGCCCAAGAAAAAATATAAAATTTATGAATTACGAGTAAAAACACTATCAAATTAGCCCAATATTTGGTTAAATCCAATCCCTTATGTAAACCCAAATCTAAACAAACCCATTATAACAATTTTGTCCAATATAGTTAATAGGCCAAAATTCCAAAATAGACATAATACCTATGGTTGGCCTAAAACAAAAACTATGTCCAAAGACTAATAAAATTTTCATTTATTAACGAAGAGGATTAGTGTCGAAGATCATGAAGATAATAAAAAATAAATGAAGTTTGAGTTATTAATTTTATTTATTTACAGATGCCTTAATAAAAACAACATTAGAACCGGTTGAAGAACAAGAAATGGGCAAAAAGAACAAGATTATCAAGTAATTATTATGAGTAACAACAAGATAAAGCGTCATGTTTTATAAAATATAGTAACAACATTCATGCAATTTGCTCTTACTTTTGTTTAAATTTTGATATAAACTATAGTTTTTTAAACTTAAACAGAAGACGATAGTTACAATACTTCAATTTTCATATGTATTTGTCTTTGTCTTTATATATATTTTAACCATTAAAATTATCTTTCGTTCTCAAACATCTATTTATCTTTATACTAGGTTAAAACTCGTGGAACCCACATATCATAATTTTAAATAGAATTAAAAAATTGATTATATAATAAAATAGTATATCATTAATTTAGAAAAACTTATGAATTGAAATATTGTATTTTTTAATAACTTTGTAATTTGTAAGTATTTAATTATACATGTAAATCCACCTATTTTATAAAAGTCATGAGTTTGTATAATGCAATATATTATTTGTGTTAAATGACTTATAATAAATTTAAACCCGTGGAAACCACGATTAAAAAGGAAAAACAATATTCATAACTTGTGTACTATACGTTATTAGAGTAAAGCAACTTTAAAATATCCATTATATTTGAAAAATATTTTTTATCCTTTTGAATATTTCTCATTAATACTTTGTCCAATGTGTCAAAAGATTATGAACCTAAAGAACTTATTCTTCCTTGACCAAGGAAAATATTTTTTTTAACTGAATGAAAATATTTTTAGCTTATTTTTGGTGAATGAAAATATTTTTAACTGATATAACATGCAACTATCCTTTTTCTCATTGAAATGTTTACATCAAATAAGTCAAACTATTGTCCTTCTTAGATGAATATATACAAAAATGAAACATACTTCATATAACTAATTGTTTAATACAAAAAATAAGTTTGGAAAACTAATTACGTTTTTTTAGCAATTATACAAGTAACAATAAAGTAATTACCTAATTTCTTTTTCATCTTTATCGTTTTCTTTTATTGTTTACCGATTAATATAAAAATAATAAATATTTTTTTATATAATCAATTATTTAACAATAATTAAGTGTTAAACCTTTATATATAACATTTTAGGTCATTAATATAAGTAACAATTAACTATTACCACAGCTAACATCCACAAAATACTTACACAAAATACTTAAGCAGATGTCAAAACTTAGTATTGATATGTAAAAAAATATCAAGTATGAATTTTAATCATAAACAAATTTAAAGAAATGCCCATCAAAACAATCTAAGAAGAAACTATCATGTAAATCGAAGGAGCACATGATCTGTGAGATTTTAATTACTTGTACAATTGACTAATAATTTGTATTGATCAAATACAAACAAAATAAGAAAATAAGCTGATAGAAGTTTGATCAACTAAGTTGACAACACCCTCGCCCAAAATGCCAGATCTTTAAGTACCCTGAGATCCATTTCATAATTGATAACACGTAGAAATGAAAGTGGGATACTTTAGTAAATAAATTAATGAAATGTACATTTCTTCTATCATAGAAAAGTATTCCAAAAAGTAAAAAATAAGCTAATACATCATATTTCTATCGAAACTTAAACTTATAGAAATTAAACTACTCTGACCCAAAAAAACACTTACCCATACAAAAAGAACATCAATTCCTTTAACATGCCTATCTCTCCATATGCTTAGCTTCTTAACCCATTTCAACCATGACCTTCTTATCAACATTCCCTTCATTGCGATTAAAACCAAGATGATTTTTGTTAATCTGCTGTTAAAACATATGAAAATTCAAACCTTTATTTCATTAGTAGACGGGAAACAAATATTTGGTAATGAGCAACTAATATCTCATAACTGTACCCAATTTCAACCAGTTTTATCTGAAAAATATAAGGGAAGTTACATGTTCGTACATCAAGCCTTAGTGAATTGTAGAAGAAAGAATCATTATATAAAACAACAACAATTTTCTTTCCTATGTCTTGCATTTAACTGAAAAGGTAATATTACGGTCATCATCAATGCGATTAATTTTAGAAGGCAATGGCCTTTACATTCCCTTCATCTGCCAGCGCCTATAGAAAGCACATAGCTTAGCCAACTAAAATCGAACTCCCAGATAAAATATGATTTCTTTTGAACATAAGAGAGAAATAACAAAGAGAACATGGAGTAAGAGCCAACATTTGTAATTGCATTAGTCAGTGTTGTCTGTCCATGATCAACATGTCTAAATGTTCCAAGATTTAAATGAGGTTTTCTGAGATGGATAAATCATATCATTAAAATATGCACAAAACAGTTTTACCTATTTTCCAAATTTAACTTGTTAAAAAAGGGTATCTAACCAATAGAACAACATAGTTCTTAAAATACATTAGTCTTCATTCCACAATCTTGTTAAAAGACTGTATTTTAGGGGGAAGAGACATACCAGGAAACCTGATGTAGTATAGAGTTTTCAATATATTCTGCACGTTTGGGATAATGGCTCTCATCATCATTCCTGGTCTCAACCAACATTAAAAAACACAGAAGATGTAACTTATAATCAGTCTACGTTGTTTTATATCTACTCAATGTTGAAAACTTAGCTAATGAAGCAACATAGTAATCATGAATTCAAACTAAATCTTGCAGGTTCTTTCAAGCTTTTCATCAAACATTTGACGTGCGTCTTCAGAGCAGCAAACTTTGAAACACAAAAAAGAATATAATAAGCCCCAAATTAGTTTTATTATCTCTTCACGGATTAGTTTTATTATCTTTTCATGGACCAGCTTTGTTAGAAAGAAGCAAAACTGATAAATTTCTCAAATCTATTTTAGAGTAATGTTGTTGGAAATTGAGGAAATCAGAAGATTGATGAAATAAGAAAAAACGTACCAGCTATCGTTCGCTCTCGACTCTAGAGTGACGAAATGAGAGAAACCAGTCATACTGAAATCAGATACTATGAATTACGAAATCAACACACACACATCGTTAAACACACACAATACATTTAGTGTTTGGAGGAATAAGGAGAAGGTTGTACCTCCAAAATTAAGAATCTTGGGATTTTAATGTGAGGAAGATACATAACCTATCATTTGCTTTTTCGTCTTCTTGAATTTAACACCTCGTGTAAGTAAACTTTCAAGCTTTCGAAATATTTAAGGGACGACTGATTTACAATTGAAGGGAGTGAATTAGGGATTTTGAAATCCAAATCACAGCTAATCAAGGGACCGAGATTTGAGGATGATCGAAGATTTAGAAGATAAATTCTTGATTTTCGGATTGAAATATGAAATTGAAGATGAAAGTATTTGACTGGTAAATGAACATATAAGGGCCACAGGGATAATTTCGGAATTTCACTTTGATAAAATGAGCGGCAATATAAGCTAGGAGAGGGCTTGGAGAATGCCACGTGGCATTTTAGGTACTGTTTTATTAGAAGAGAGGATATTAACGATCATTATAATTATAATCACGTTGATAAAAAATGTAGAATATAATTTATATCAAAGACAAAAACTAATTAACAAATTATTATTATAAAAACGAAAATAGTCAAATTAAAGGGGTGTCACCCAAAAACAAATGGGAGCGAAGGAATCCATGACGTCGGAGAAAACTAAATCCTCCATGGTGGCCGACGCCGGAAACCTTCACGTCGTCTTCCTCCCTTTTTTGCTTCAAGCCACATCATCCCTTTGGTCTACGCCGCCAGGCTCTTTGCCTCTCGAGGCGTTCGCTCCACCATCATCACCACCGTTCACAATGCTCTCATATTCAAATCCTTCATCGATCGTGACATCTTCGCCGGATTCCCCAAAGTCGTTCAGACCATCAACTTTCCAGCATCAGAGGTCGGACTGCCCATCGGAATAGAAAATTTCAACACCACCACCAGGGTTGGTCCAGACGGTGGGCAACCCGGGCGACCGCCCAGGGCCCACGACTCCAGGGGGCCCAAAATTTATGGGCTATGTAGTGTATATATATAAACCATCTATTACCAAAATGATTTTTAGGGGTTCAAACTCAAACTAGCTTCAAAGATAAACAATTTGGTTTGCTTGTTATTGCTAATTGAACGTGTTTATAGTGAAGAATAAATGATATATTTTTTTAATCTTTATTATATTTGTCTTTAAGGACCTTTTTTTCTTTTCGCCCTGGGCCCATATACGTTTGGACCGGCCGTGTCGGCCACCACTCTAGAAACCGCATCCAAAGTCTATCATGGCATGATGCTGCTCCAGAAGACAATTGAACAAGTGATTCGTGATCTTGCTGCAGATTGCATCTTCTCCGACATGTTCTTCCCGTGGACTGTGGACCTTGCCGACGAGCTCAATATCACGAGACTGTTGATTTACCCTTCGTGTTTCCTTTACCACTCCGTTTTCCACAGCTTGAAAGTTCATAAACCTCATGAGAATGTGAAATCTGAATCAGAAAGCTTTGTGGTTCCCAATTTACCCGATAAAATCACGATGAAGAGGTCTCAGGTTTCAGACCATTTCAAGTTCAAGAACCTATGGGGCGAGATGATTGAAACGATTCAACAATCGGAGAAGCGAAGTTACGGATTAGTCCACAATACGTTTTACGAGATCGAACCAGCTTATGCCGATCACATGAAGAAGATTAAAGGTACGAAAATCTGGCATATTGGCCCTCTTTTTCAGTTTTTCATTCGCGAGGGTTCGTCGGAGAAGAAACACAGTTGTCTGAGTTGGCTTGACGATCAAAAACCGAAATCGGTGATATTCGTTTGTTTTGGAAGTTTGGTGAAATTCCTAGAAGCTCAGATCACTGAAATAGCATTAGCGCTTGAAGAAGCTAATCAGCCGTTTATTTGGGTGGTGAGAAAAGGGGAAGATGAAGTGATTTGTGGGTTGCCGGCCGGAAGGTTTTGAGGAGAGGATTGGAAGGGAAAACAAGGGTTTGATAATGACGGGATGGGCTCCACAGGTGGAGATTTTACAACACCCGTCGATCGGAGGGTTCTTGAGCCACTGCGGTTGGAACTCGATGCTTGAAGCTATGGTGACCGGAGTGCCATTGATGACATGGCTGTTGTACGCCGAACACTGTTACAACGAGAAGCTGGTGGAGCTTTTAGGGATTGGAGTCGGAGTAGGGGCGGAGGTTTGGAACTCGGGTTCTGAGATCACTAGCCCAATCATCGGAAAACAGAATATAGTTGAGGCTATTCAGATATTGACAGGTGGATCCGCCTGTGAGTGTAAACCAGACTTGGTGTGAACCTGACATCAGTAGTTGCACCTCTATCTATGTTGACAATAAGAACTCAAATGGCAACTTCGTATGTTCATATAATGAACACAATAAATGGTAGCAGTAGTAATTGTAGGCTTGTTTAAGTATAAATAGAGGCTCTAACGTCAGTTGTAAGACACCACAAACAGAGAGTGTAGTGTGTAATACTTAGAGTGAGTATTAGAGGGTTGTTTATTTTTCTTGTAATATTGAGCGTGTAAGCTCTTCTCTTTTGTTCTAGTTCTGAATAAAAGTGTGTTTCAACCCCAACAAGTGGTATCAGAGCTTGGTTAAGCTCCGGGGGGGAAGCATTCTCTGTTTTTTGGTCGAAATTTTTTTGTCTCAAAAACAATTTCGGAGTACACTGTTGGAAATGTCTCGTTCTGAGGATTCCGAAAATATATTTTTTTGAATTTTTTGACCACCGGAAGGACTCCAAATCACCGGTCAAAGTTGGTCAAATCTGCCGGAAAAGTCGCCGGAACAACCAGGGTTCGCCGGAGAAGACGACACTGTAGCAGGTACTGTAGCAGCACTGTAGCAGTGACGTCAGCAGTGACGTCAGCAGCTGACCAAAGTTCTGGAAATTGCAGTTTAGCCCCTGTTCTTCCGGAAAAATGCAATTTAGCCCCTGTTTTTCAGAAAAATTGCAATTTTGGTCCCGTTTTTCAGAAAAAATTGAATTTAGCCCCTGTTTTACTTCTGTAAAAGTTCTGTTTGCCCCCTGAACTTCTGATAAGTTCATATTGGTCCCCGTACTTCAAAAAAAATATATATATTCTTACTCGTGTATGCCCAAGTATATGCCAAGAATGACTACACCAACCTCGTCATCTTCTCAAGCCGGAGTTGAAAGTTTTCAAAGAACCGGGAAAGACGGTAGCATTACGTTACACTATCCAATGCTCACGAAGATGAACTACGCGGTGTGGGCCATAAAAATGCGAGTGAATTTACAAGCACAAGGAGTATGGGATGTAATTAAAAATGCAGAAACGGACGAACGTAAAGATCGGATGGCTCTTGCGGCTATTTATCAAGCAATTCCAGAGGACGTACTTCTGATGTTAGCTGAGAAGGACACAGCTAAAGAAGCATGGGAAACGCTCAAGATGATGCACATGGGAGCCGATCGGGTCAAGGAGGCTAAAACTCAAACCTTGAGAAGTGACTTCGAGGTGATCCGGATGAAAGACAGTGAATCGGTAGATGATTTTTCCATGAGATTGAATACTATCGTAACCGGTATTCGATCTCTAGGTGAAAAGATTGAAGAAATTACGGTTGTGAAGAAGTTTTTGCGAGCCGTACCGATACGATTTATACAAATCGTAACATCGATCGAGCAATTCGGAGATTTGAAGAATATGACGGTGGAAGAAGTTGTGGGTCGTCCTAAGACCCATGAAGAGAGACTTCGAAGCTATGGAGAAAAAGAAGAAGGACCTTCTCTATTGCTTACACATGCCGAGTGGGCATCTCGTTCGAAGCAAACTGGCGAGAGAAACTCGTCAAACACTTCAAGAGGACGAGGAGGACATGGTAACCGAGGCCGGGGACGAGGCCGAGGTCGTGGACGTGGCCAAGGAGGTGGTCGCGAGTACAATACAAATCGGAATGACCATAATCCTTCTCGAAAGGATAAAAGTAAAATCAAATGCTTTACTTGTGAACAATTTGGTCATTATGCTTCGGAGTGTCCAAACAAGAATCGAGGTGAGGAGGCAAACCTCACTCAAGCCAACGAAGAAGAGCCTATTTTAATGATGGCAACCTCACAAGAATATGCACACAAAAAAGTGTCTCTAAGAGAGAAGATTTGTGTTAATCTTCTTGCATCGGGAGAAAGTCGAGTCGAGTCTGAGGTATGGTATCTCGACAACGGTGCTAGCAATCACATGACTGGAGACCGCTCAAAGTTTCGCGAACTAGATGAGCACGTTACGGGCCATGTGAAATTTGGGGATGGTTCGACCGTCGCTATTTTGGGAAAAGGGTCGATTTTATTCGATAGCAAAAATGGCGACCAAAGACTCCTTAATGAGGTATATTTCATTCCAAGTCTAAAAAACAATATTATTAGTCTTGGACAAATGACGGAGGAAGGGAGTCGGGTCATAATGGATGGGTCGGATCTGACATTGTTTGACAGAAACAAAACTCTACTTTTGAGAGTTAAACGATCCCCAAACCGGTTATATAAAACTCCTTTAAGGACCGGTAGACCGACTTGTCTTTTAGCAACAAAAGACGAACCAGCTTGGATATGACATTCTAGACTCGATCATGTTAACTTTCTCGCCTTAAAGAAGTTGTCCGAAAAGAATATGGCAATCGGAGTCCCAAAGATTGAGCACCCAAACCAAGTATGTGAAGGGTGCGTTCTTTCCAAACAAACCCGAATTCCTTTCCCGGATCATGCAGTTTTTCGAGCTCAAAAACCTCTACAACGTGTTCATGCGGACTTATGTGGTCCGATCACACCTACGTCTGTTGGAGGGAGTAAATATTTTCACCTTTTAGTAGACGATTTTAGCCGGTGGATGTGGGTTTACATGCTATCGGAGAAGTCTCAAGCCTTGAGCGCTTTCAAACGGTTCAAGTTGATGGTTGAAAAGAATTCGGGTTATCAAATAAAGACACTTCGAACGGATCGAGGGGGAGAGTTCACTTCAAAAGAATTCTCATTATTTTGTGAAGAAAATGGTATTCATGGCAGCCACAACAGCAGCATGTCAAGCCATTTGGCTTGCTAATCTCGTGAAGGAGCTCACGGGACATCATATTATGCCTATCACCTTATATGTCGATAACAAGTCAGCAATCGCATTGATGAAAAATCATGTGTTTCATGGTCGAAGCAAACACATTGACATTCGTTATCACTTCATACGAGAATGTGTTGAACGTGGGCAAATTATAGTGGAATATGTCAACTCGAAGGATCAACGGGCGGACATCTTTACAAAGGCTTTAGCATACGTGAAACATAGTGAAATGCGAAACATGATCGGCGTGAAGAATCTCTAGCCAAGTTCGGTTTAAGGGGGAGAATGTGAGTGTAAACCAGACTTGGTGTGAACCTGACATCAGTAGTTGCACCTCTATCTATGTTGACAATAAGAACTCAAATGGCAACTTCGTATGTTCACATAATGAACACAATAAATGGTAGCAGTAGTAATTGTAGGCTTGTTTAAGTATAAATAGAGGCTCTAACCTCAGTTGTAATACACCACAAACAGAGAGTGTAGTGTGTAATACTTAGAGTGAGTATTAGAGGGTTGTTTCTTTTTCTTGTAATATTGAGCGTGTAAGCTCTTCTCTTTTGTTCTAGTTCTGAATAAAAGTGTGTTTCAACCCCAACACCGCCATAGCTGAAAGTATCAGATGCAGCTCAAAAGAGATGGCAATGAAAGCGAAACACGTTGTTGAAGAAGGTGGCTCTTCTCTCAACGATTTAATGGCTTTGATAGTAGAACTGAAAGCCATTAAATCGGGCCCAAAGCCATGAAACAATTTGTGCTTTTAGTTTTTACTTGATTTTCATAAAGAAGCCCATCTTTTAAATCCATATTTGAAAGTGGGAGGGGTTAGCTAAGTAACATGAACCTAGGTACTGTTCATAAAAGACTTCATTAGTGAATAAATATAGTAAATTGAAAATGTACAGAATATCAGTTTTATTTACAAAAAGAAAATAATGACCTAATTTAATATTTCAATTTGATTTCATAGGGTTGTTTATATATAAATAAAAAAATATGTTAAGTGACTTTTTATTTTAATCTTTATAAGTTAATTTTAACTTGATAATAAAATAGATGACTCTAGTTCAAAGTTCTTTTAAGATTCATGCTAAAATCATGTAAACTTTTAGAAAGAAAAATAATAACTCTTAATTCCAATGATAAGAAACTTTTCAAGTAGCAAAGAACTTAAAAGAACAATCATAGAGATGCTTTAATACGTTGCATACATAATCAAATATGTATCCATACTTATTTCTTGTATTTTATCCCTACCACAAATATACTCTTGATTAAATTGCTATTAGGCTATACACCTTCTATAGTTGGATTCATGTTTATATATTGTTTTGGGTAAATTTCTAGTTTATATTTATTTACTTGCTCCCTCCTGTAGAAAGACAATAACAATTGTTAATGGTTCTTTAATTATGTGTGAATCACTTATATAGTTATATCAACACTTGTACAAAGTCGAACAAAAGAACAATGAAGCCATAATTTGAACAACTTTTAAGAAGAGCACCACAAAGAAAACCAAATCTAAACAAAACAAACCAAATTTGAATAATATCTACAATTTCAGATTCCGTTTCCCCTAAGGCCCTAACAGGCTAGTTTTGCAGGAAAGACTATTTTGTCCACAAAGTATTTATCCTTGGGCTTCGCTTTGATTATGGGCCGGGCCTGTCTACACCATGAACTTTTCAGCACCGGTCCATCATAATAGGGAATCAATAGAAATGACATTCAGAGTATTACATGGCATTCATAAATTTTCTAGCGAGGATGTCAGGAAACTACACTTGTGTCCATTATTTTACCACAAAAATACCATTTCTCTTATTACTTATTTTATTTTGTGTATTTGCTCAATAATCTTATTGTTCTATCTTATTCGCCTTTAACAGTAGAACTCTGGATCTTGTCTTAGGATGAATATAGACGAGTAACCAAAATGTCCGTATGTGAGGGGGGCATGAAGTCATTTAACAGGAAATTATGGATGTCATTTGACAAATGTATAGTAATATAGTATATATTTTTGAACCACAAGATCGTGTTCTAACTTTCCAAAAATGGGTCCAAACCTGCCATTCTAACCAAACTATATAGACTATTTCTATATTTTACTTAATATTAAATTAGTTTAAAAATATATAACAACTAGATTATGACCCGCGTTAAACGCGGAGGAACGCATAAATTAAATACAAATTTATATAGATATTGCAG